TACAGCTCTATCTAGGGAGACTTGAATTGAGGCCTTCTCTCTCCCACAATAAACCTACTGAGGCAGAGATTTCACGATAATCCCGTTGCCTGTGAAAATGCACCCAAAGGTACTGGAGAAATAGGCAGCTTAGCCTGTTAGTGTCTGCAGCCTCCGACGGGTCTCGAGTCTCCGCCTCACTTTTCCCTTCTCGCCGCCCATCCCCCACCCACTCTAGTCTGGAGACAGGAGAAGTCACGCTGCTTCCTGTGCGGTTGCTCATGGGCTCGTGTAGGACATCACCTCTGGGCTTCTCAGGCACCGGTGTGCTCACCCCTTTCTCCTCTCTTGACCTGGGAGTTTAAGAGCGGATGTCCACACATAGGGGAACCCACGTAAAGGTCTCTGCAATAGGTGTGCAATCATAGATAGCTAGACGGCTAGAAGATGTTTTCTCAGCTGATCACCACCCACCCTGGGCACCCTGTGCAAGGGACGAGAAAGGCAGGAGCCGTCAGCCCTAGAGCTCACCCTGACCCCAACCTTGACCCCAACCCTGACCCCAACCTTGACCCCAACACTGACCCCAACCTTGACCCCAACCCTGACCCCCAACCCTGACCCCAACCCAGGCCCTAACCCTGACCCCAACCAACCCTGACCAGCCCCTACTTCATTCTCACCGCAGCCAGCACAGTGAAGGAGCTTTTATTGCTTCCGCTTGACAGGAAACTGAGGTTCAGAGAAGTGGAGTGACTTGCCCCAGGTCACCCCACAGGAGCCTGGATTGGGGCCGAGGTCTCATCTGCCGTGTTCACTCTAGAAGTCGGGACTTCCAGTAGAAAGCAGGTGGTTAAAATGCTCAGAGCAAGGTGTTTTCACCCCCATGCCCCCAGCATTTCAGCTTCCCCATTCACACACACTCCTCTCCACGCAACGTGGGTTTTATCTGTGACTCCTTCACAGTGTCCACCAAAGTGATGCGAGTGGCCTTAGCTGCATTAGGAGCACATTGTTGAAAACAGATCCAAGCCGCTGAGACTGGATTGCGTTCCGGTGAACCCGGGTTACTAACCCGCACTCACGTGCTTAATTTTTACTGCCCACCCCCGCCCCGCGCCAATAACACAAAGTATGGATGGTCACGAAAACATGGAAATTTTCAATAATCCCAGTGGCTGTTTCGAAATCACATCTGGGATTGAATGTCAACCTAAGGAGTATGGGGCAGGCCCGATATAACCTAGTCTATCCTAAAGGCTCCCAGCCCTGGCCCTCCACTTCCCCTTCCACCAATCTCCTGTCTTATTATTTCACGAAAAGCTTCTTAATAACCTGGAGATGCTTCAGAGTCAACCTGAGTTCCAGGAGCATTCCACATGAAGTTTCCTCGTGCTCTCTCTATTTGACTAATTGCAAAAAATGAAATGAAGATGACCTCCAAATGTCCAACTCTTCTGTCTGCAGAAGGTTCTTTTCAGCTTGCTGTGGAGGCCAGCTGCCAGGGCAGCCTTCTTTCCGTAACGCAACCCTCCCGTCTCTCCACGGCGGAATGGGGCAGAGTTACCCCCAAACAAGTCCACTGCCCATCATTTTCACCACAGGCCTGTGGCATACACCTCAAGGACTGACGATCCCTCTAATGAGGGGCCCTAATCTGAGAATTGTCACTTTGATTTTCTTGTCTTTCTTTTCCTGCTGGTGCGCAAATTGTGCATTTAAGGCTAGAATCTGCCTACTCGAAATGACACATATAAATTCTCATTCTGTTAATCTGAGACAGGAGGGAAAAAAAGTCTGTACACACTCAAAAGTCTGACCCTGACTTTTGTTATTTCAATCTATTCTGTGACCAGTAGTCTTGAGTTTTTTTAATAGTGATTAAAATAGTTCATGAACAGTCTTCCCAAGTATACCCTCAAGTTGCGCTTTGAGGCGTGATAAAGTTCTGATCAGAACACACTGGCTTGGAAGACGCGTCCCCTCTCCAAGGAGCAGGGCACGCAACTTGTGATTAGATCAGCTGTGCCTCAAAGCCCTTGCTCCAAAATCAGCTCTCCTTTTGTCCACAAGCAACCCCCCCGAATATTCACACGTCCCACACTATTTTGATTTAGGTTAAATCCTTAGAGATTTGTTTTCTGGAAGGGGGGACCATTGTGTTTGGATTTGCCTAATACATGCGGGGGAGGTGACTGAGGAGGGTGAGAATAAGATGGAAACGGGAGGAGGTAAGGGATGCTGGGCTTGAGTTACTGTCCAGGTGAGAACAGAGGTGGTAGCGTTCGCTTCTCTGTGTCGGGGCTGGAAAACCCCAAGAGTCCAAGCTGTGAACTTGAAAAGAAGTTATCTGTTTTTGCCTGTGTTTAGTTTCAAATACACCAATTCTTTTTTTTTTTTTTTTGGAGGTAACTTTTATTTTATTTATATATATATTTTTATTGGAGTATAGTTGATTTACAACGTTGTGTTAGTTTCAGATGTACAGCACAGTGATTCAGTTTTATATGTACATATATTTTTTTCCAGATTCTTTTCCCTTATAGTTATTGCAAAATATTGAGTAGAGTTCCCTGTGCTATACAGTACATCCTTGTTGGTTATCTGTTTTAGATATAGTAGTATGTATATGCTAATCCCAACCTCCTAATTTATCTTTCCCCTATCAAATACACCAATTCTTATTTCTTAAACAGGGATGTTTGATGCATTGTTATTCTGTGTATTACATACGCAGTGCAAGTTATCAGTACTTCCTCAGAACCCCGCATGGGACCACAGAGAGATCGCAGTTCAGAGTGACCCCCTCTACTCCCGGAGTTCAGACCGTTGTCCTGCACAGAGAACATGCAGTCATGTTCTCCAACTGCAGTTCAGACCCCAAGAGGACAAAAACAAGTCCCCTCTTTACCTTTTTGTGCCCACTCTTATCAAGTAAACTACCATATGTGCCCCCAAACCTCCATTTTCCCAGTGAGGTTACCCCAAAGAGGTTTTTTAGGGGGTGGTCCCATGTAAGTAAATTGGGAAGGTGGATGATAGAATTGCACTGAATACTGAAATTATCTGCAAAGGTCGACTTGCATTTTTAAAAGCATACATTTTATTTTATTTAATTATAATTAATTTATTTTTAGAAGATGTTGGGGGTAGGAGTTTATTAATTAATTAATTAATTTTTGCTCTGTTGGGTCTTCGTTTCTGTGCAAGGGCTTTCTCTAGTTGTGGCAAGCAGGGGCCACTCTTCATCGCGGTGCGTGGGCCTCTCACTATCGCGGCCTCTCTTGTTGCAGAGCACAGGCTCCAGACATGCAGGCTCAGTAGTTGTGGCTCACGGGCCTAGTTGCTCCGCGGCATGTGGGATCCTCCCAGACCAGGGCTCAAACCCATGTCCCCTGCATTAGCGGGCAGACTCGCAACCACTGTGCCACCAGGGAAGCCCCCATTTTATTATTTTTTTAAGCATAGATTTTATTTTTTAATTTAAAATGCTTCATTGCTAAAAAATGCTAACCACCATCTGACAATGCAGGGTTTCCACAGACCTTCAATTTATAAAATATGCAATATCCACAAAGAGCAATAAAGCGAAGCACAATAAAACGAGGTCTGCCGGTGTACAGTACAGTATCGTTAACTATAGTCACCATGTAAAAGCATACACGTTAAAGTATTGGTTTTTTTCACCTTCATGTCATGATACATGATGTATTCACATAATTCTTCTAAGTCAGCAGTGTTTTTATCACCACTAGAACCATGTCTTTGATTCACCAGAGCACATAATCCCCACTTCGATCCAAGTCGTTTGAAGTACAGCACTTTTTAACTAAATCTCCCTCTGCGTGGGGCTCTGGTCCAGTTTCCATTTACAAAATACAAAGGCGGGAAGGGCTTCCACTCCCCAGGTGCTTGGTCTCCACCAGCTCACTGTATCCCACACACTGGGAGGTGATGCTCTAAGACGCCATCACTCCCTTTCTCACCAATTTGCCTGGGGAAGGGCATGGGTATCCTTCGTAGTCACTGAGGGGTCACCCCGTGATGTGGGAGACTTTGGGGAAATTCAGATACTGGGCAATTCCTTCTTTGCAAAAGAGCGCCTTTGGGGAAACAAAACTTGCCTTTTGTCAGGCATGTGTAATATCTTAGAAACCCTTCCCATTTTTAGAAGACGATTCATTTTGTTGCCTTTCAAGGAGAGCCACTCCTTGTTCAGCAGGGAGCTACTACTCACATGTTCTTTGAAAAGGATACATCGTGGATGATTGAATTTTGCGACGGCCCTTAAAGACAGGTCACCTGGAGCCAGCTGACAAGTGTACGGTGATGGTGCAAGTGGTCCTTGTGGTTCAGGCAGGTCCAGGGATGTGTGTGGGATGAGGGAATCTGTGTGGAATGAGTTTGGCTAAATTCTTCAGTTCTGTGCCTTTCTGGAGGAAAAAAAATAAATTTGCTGCTAAAGTTTAGGTTAGAAAATACAAATGAGGAACATGTGCTTTTTTAAATCCAACTTTATCTTCCTTACAAATTCTGCGGTTTCTTGGAATGCTTGTCCAATAAGCAACCCTTGGTCGGGTCTTGCTGTTTCTGTGCTCACGGGATTCCCGAAGCATCAAGCTTATTTTTATTTTTAGGAGCGTCGGCACTTTTCTGCATCTCTGTTCCTCTTGTTACTGAACATGAGGTGTACCTCCGTCTGTCCATCTGGACTTGTGCACAGTCTGAGATCCCTGGAGATGAGTTCATCTTCTTTATGGATGAGGAAACACACTGAACAGTGTTTGTCACTGGACAGAATCCGGGTTTGGGCAGCCGTCCTGCTTTCTGGCTTTTTGCCAGGGCTCAGAAGACAGTGACACTCACTCATGAGACTTTGGGTGCCTCTTGAGTTTGGGGGCTTTCGTTTTCTTTTCTCAGAAATGGGTATAGCATGTGGAACGGGATTGTCCTGATTGAAAACTGGCGTAGAAAACTGAAAGTACCAGTTTCAAGGCTAACGGCCTCTCTTTGTCTTTCAGCATCTGAAGACCTCGAAGGCTCAGGATGGGGAACCACGCAGGGAAGCGAGACTTAGGTGCCGAGAAGGGAAATAAGGTAAAAAGTGAGCCGGCTCAAAAATCCTTCAAACGCACAAACCCTCCTCAGGTACCCTGTGGCTACCAGGGTTTTCCGCTAAAACAATTGGCTTGTTATCCTCCTACCTTAGAAACTTCTAGGGCTTAGAATGCTAGTCCAAGACCCGAATTCTTCGGCCAGGACTCCAGGCCCACTACGATCTCACTGTGACTGGCCTTGCCGGTGCCATCGGCCCGACATCCCTTCCCACACCCTCATCATAGGGAGCTTGGAAGATACAGGAGAGCAAACAGGAAAAACGCAAATAAAAGTCATCCAGATCCCTCCAGTGACCCAGAATGAATCTTCTGGGTATTTCTAGCCTCGTGTTCGCCCCTTTCCCCCTTATTCCACAGACATCAGCTTCCCCTGTTCGAGGATGATTCTCTGCATCACCTTTGATTCCCCCAGAGTGACTGGGAAAGTGGTTCTCAGCCTGTTTCCCCCTGAGCCGCTCAAACCGATGACCCGTCACCAGGGCACCTGCTGGCCTCATTCTTTGTCCACCGAAGAGTCATTTCAGATTATGAGGACATAGGCCTGATGTTGTGCGCACAACTGTGAATCCACCCTAATTTGTGGGGGAAGGTTAATTATTCCAGTTCCTTGGTCCTTTAACTCAAGACAAATGACAGTTCATCAGAATGTCACAGTGCTGAGGGTGGACCTCCACCAGCCCACACGCACACAGAAGTGCTTCGTAAATGTCCACCGGATTGAATTACATTACATTTGAGCCCCAGGACCTCTTTGCTGAGGTTCTGTGCTATGGGTTTTATTTAATAATAATGAACTTTGGCAGCCATGAGTCCTTCTCTGATCTGTACTTAGACTCAATTTCCATATCAGCCAGGTGGGTAATTTTCCATAATGTGCTTTCAAGCCATTCGTGTAAATCAGTGATTACATACTGTTCTTGTTCATATCTTATCTTACAAAGTGTTTTGAGAAAACATTGTTTTATCTAAAACAATGTTACGGAGTTTCTTTCCTAATGATGTCAGGCCCAAGGTCAACTAGAAGGGGTTTACCTTTTTATAATGTTATTATTGATTTGGAATTCTCTCATTGTTGAAAGGAGGACCAATTTTCTAAGTGTGTAAAGTGTTCTAGTGAATGTTGAGTGGGGAATCACGCAGTGTTTTCTACAACTCGAGCGTGAACTGTGTTACTGGTAATCTCCCTGTGAAGATACTAGTAACTGAGCCGTGAATGTGTTCAGTTACGCTAGAGACCGTGGGTCTGGTGGCACCTGCACCAGGAGGATGGAGTCTCAGCTCAGAGTGAAAGTGGAGAAACAGCTCTTCTCAGAGAGCCCCATCCTGTTAGCACGTGGTACGTTAAGGCGCTGCTGATTTACGTCACTGACTTGCAAGCCTGCTTCTGTAAACCTCTCTGTGGCTTGCAGTGTCTTTCCTGTTGTTGGACGTTGTAAAGCACCAAAACGTAGTTCTCACTGGTTTACTTTTACCGACGTCAGATTCCTGAGCGGTGGTACAGCCATAGTGACGCTTCTGTTTTCTGAAAGCTAATTTTTAACGTTCTGCTGATGTTTCTTTGAAATTGGGCCTTGAAGACCACTGGCTCCTGTAGGGAGTTGTTACAAGTAACAGCTGTCTTCTTTTAATTGTTTGTCACTTGACAGAAAATATCTGAGGCCTTGTGGACGGAGTGCTCTGGGGCAGCGGTCCCCAACTTTTTGGCCCCAGGGACCGGTTTCGTGGAAGACAGTTTTTCCACAGAGGCGGGTGGGGGGATGGGGGGTTCAGGCGGTGATGCGAGCGAAGGGGAGGCGCAGATGAAGCTTGCTCTCCACCGCTCGCCTGCTGCTGTACGGCCGGTTCCTAACAGGCTGCGCGAACGGGTACCGGTCTGCGGCCCTGGGGGGTTGGGGGCCCCTGCCCTGTGGTGTTACGTGGAGCATCAGCTGAAACCAGAATAGAGAAAAACCACATGCGCTCGTGCCCTGCAGTTTCGCATCTGCACGTTTCTGTAGTCACTCTGGGAAGCTTGTTTCTCACTTACGAGGGAGTGGACAGAAAGCGTTTGCCTGTGTCCGGGGGCTGACTGCTGACCTGCTAACAGGCGGGGGGCTGCAGGGACCGGTCACCCCACTCATCTCCCCAGCTCTGCCTCTTTGCGGCTCCCCTCATACCTCACAGGGGGCCCAGAGCCCTCCTCGGCTCTCCACTCGCGTCCCCCATCAGCCCCGTGTCCTCACGCCCGCGCCTGCTGCCTTCCTGGAACCCGCAGGCCTGCGGGGGACGTTAGGAGGCAGTGGCCCTGTGTCGTGACCCCCTGTTCTGCCGCCCTCTCCCCCACTCCCCACCCCACCCCCGCGCTCGGCCCAGCTGGGGAGGGAGCCGTGGTGGTGGCCAGGAGCACACAGCCGCCTGCTGCCAGGTTCCTCCCCGTGGCGCTCCACTGCTCTCTCACTGGCTTCTCTCTCCTCCCGAAGAAGGCGTGTCACGATGTAGGAAGGAGCCTGTGATGGAAGGGACAGCTCTGGCATTTCTCTGTTCCTGTTCCAGCCTTGCGTGTTAATGTGGAAACAGACGCACGTCCAGGCAGCGATGCAGCTGCGAGCCCGACCTCGGGGCCCCGTCAGAGAGCAGAGTGTGCGTGGTGGAGGTCAGGGAGGCCCCATCCACAAGGGGAACCAGTGGCATTCAGGGAAGTTCCCATTCACAGACATAAAGAAATCCCTGCTGGCCTCCGATTCGCTGTTTTTCTGAGCATCCTGGTGGATTTGGTTTCCAGGAAGCCCAGCTCACTAACTTACCAGCTCCTTGTCAGGCAGTGCATTTTCACAATGGTCCTTTGGCAGAACCGGGGAAGGACACGTCCCAGCTGCCACGTCCCCGGGACACATGGTTCTCAAAGAGCCCCCGCCCTTGGGCAGGCTGTGCCCGGGCAGCCCTGGGAGCCCGGGGACCCTGCACAGGTGGATGACACGCTTGGCCCCTCTGGCTCCTGGAGGGGAGGGTTCGTTTCCAGGTCTGCACAGGAGTGAAGCTGGAGCACTTCTTCCGCAGGAGAACCAGCTGGGCCTTAGGACGGTGCCCACACCCTTTACTGAGGCTGTGCTGGGCTTCTGTCTCGTTCGGCGTTGCTCTGACTGTTGTCAGTCTCTGACCTATGGGTTTGCTCGTTGGGGTTTTCTGGTGATTCTCTGTTGGACACACCAGATGCTATTAGTGCCTGCCGTGCTCCAGGCATCCGCGCCGTGGCTGTGTGGTTGCCAGGGCTGCTGTGACAAAGCAGCGCACACCCAGGGGCTGAACGACAGACGTGTATTTGCTCTCAGTCCTGGAGGCTGGAATCTGAGATCCAGGTGTCGGCAGGGCTGGGTCCTCCTGAGGCCTTGCTCCTTGGTGTGTAGACGGCCGTCTTCTCCCTGTGTTTTCAAGTGGTCGTCCCTCTGTGTGTGTCTGTGTCCTGATCTCCTCTTATAAGGACACCAGTCCTATAGGATTAGGGCCCATCCTCGTGACCTCATTTTACCTTAATCACCTCTGTGAAGACCCCACCCTCAAATGCAGCCATATTCCGAATTCCTGGAGGGCTAGGACTTCGACACGTGGCTCCTTGGGGAACACGCGTCAGTCCACAATGTCCGTGTTATTTGATGCAGCCGAGAAGTGACTGGGAGGTTTGAGAGGCCAGAGAGAGGAGTGTCCCCAGCCCTGCCTGGTGATTGCCACCAGAGTCTGACCCTCACCCTCAGTGGGCACTGCCATTGCCCTGGCCTCTCCCCATCATGAGATTTCGGCATTCGCTTCTGTCCTGTTAACTCCTCCCTCGCAGACCCCTTAACCTTCCAGGCCCCAGATCCATAAGCCAACACCCCCGCTGCCCTTAGGATGTGGGGCTTGTCCAGAACCTTCCATGCCCACCTGTTGCCCGTGACCATCTGTCCACATGGCACAGCGGCCTTGAGATTGTGTCCTCCATGTGCTGCACTCATGCGTTCAGCCCTTCTCCACGCTCTGACCCTCTGAGTATCATCTTCATTTTACCCGTGATGGACTCTCAGAGTGGCCTGCGAGGTTGGCCCAAGGCCAGGTGGGGAGCGAATGCAGGAGCTGGGCTGTGGGGCGGCTCTCTGTCCCTCTAGGTCGGCACCAGGCAGCAGAAATGGAAGGAGAGCCGCAGGTGGATGTTTAAATGTTCTAGTAGCCACGTAAAAAAGTAAAGAGACAGGAAGAAATTAATATTAATATCTTTTCTGTAACTTAATATACTCCAAATATCATGTCAGCATATGACAACTGTCAGTGAAGTATTTTACAATTCTTTCTGTCGCAGTGAATCTTCAAACTCGGGAGTATATTTAGCTTACATCCCAATATGGCCTGGCCACTTTTCTGGCACTCAGTGGCCGCATGTGGCTGGCAGCTCCAGACCGGACGGCAGCCTCCAAAGCCAGGCCCATCCCCGTGGGCCCTGCTGGTGTCCTCCATCCAGTTCACGCCCCCTGCCCTGCCCACCGTGCATCTCATCCATCGCCTGAGGAAGAGCAAAGAGAAATTGTGAATGACCAGTAGAGTCCCTTGAGAGGTGATGGTGGGTCTGATTTTGCCCTCGGAGGGAGAGAGCTGGGGCTGAAGAGGAGAAGCCGGAGGGGGAGGGAGGGGCTGGGGAGGGGTGTGGATGAATGGCTGTCCTCTGTCCCCTGGCTGGACCAGTAACTGCAGAGCAAGGGCAGTGACGAGTGAAAGTCCGGTGCAGAGGAGAAAGCAGGAGCGTCCTTTTTAAATCTGCCCAAATCCAGAGATCGTTTAGGGCATCGGGAGTGCCTCTGGTCTCGTGGCTTCGTCTGCCCTCCCCTGAATCACCATCAAGCCTCTGGGGCAGCTTGAAGGGTCCAACCTGGGATCAGCCCCGGCCTCCGCACCAGGTGCGTCATGGTGCTCACACAGACACGTCAGGACACTTGGCACTTTGCGTTGCCCCCAGTTTTCTCTCACAAGAGGCAG